GCATACACATACAGTGGACCCCCGGTTAACGATATTTTTTCACTCAAGAAGTATGTTCAGGTGCCAGTACTGACCGAATTTGTTCCCATAAGGAATATTGTGAAGTAGATTAGTCCATTTCAGACCCCTAAACATACATGTACAAACGCACTTACATAAATACACTTACATAATTGGTCGCATTCGGAGGTGATCGTTATGCGTGGGTCCACTGTATAAAGATACACAACATATCCCTCCAAACTGCCAATATCCCAAACCCCTCCTTTAAAGTGCAGGCATTGTACTTCCCATTTCCAGGACTCAAGTCCGACTATATGAAAATAACCGGTTTCCCTGAATCCCTTCACTAAATATTACCCTGCTCACACTCCAACAGATCGTCAGGCCCCAAGTACCATTCGTCTCCATTCACTCCTATCTAACACGCTCACGCACGCTTGCTGGAAGTCCAAGCCCCTTGCCCACAAAACCTCCTTTACCCCTTCTCTCCAACCCTTTCGAGGACGACCCCTACCCCGCCTTCCTTCCGCTATAGATTTATATGCTTTCCATGTCATTCTACTTTGATCCATTCTCTCTAAATGACCAAACCACCTCAACAACCCCTCTTCTGCCCTCTGACTAATACTTTTATGAACTCCACACCTTTTCCTAATTTCCACACTCCGAATTTTCTGCATAATATTTACACCACACATTGCCCTTAAACAGGACATCTCCACTGCCTTCAACTGTCTCCCCGCTGCTGCATTTATCACCCAAGCTTCACACCCATATAAGAGTGTTGGTACTTGTTACGTTGGTTTCCCTTATTTCTTGGATAGTAAGGTTCTCACTACATGTTCTAGTGTGGGGTAGCTTTTTACTTAATGGCCTTATCTGTCTAGGGGTAATACTTACATTATGGCTGATCATCCTGAGTGTCTCTGATATCCTTTCACCAGCCCTCTTCACAGGTTATGTAAACTACTACTATAAAAATATAACTGTATTCTCAATAGATATGTACAGAATATACAATTACAGCCTCACATTTTCAAAACAAAGATCTACACACTCCATAGCTGTTCTCCACATGGTGTATTCCAACAACTTTTGTCCTTCTCTCTTCTTGACATAACTCTTGGCTAACCAGTGTTTTGACACTTTAGTCACCCTGGGTATGGTGGCCACAACTTAAATTATAAAAACTCACCCCTGGAACACACATACTGCCCCAAAAGATAGAAGGACCCAGAGATCCTGCCAGGTTGAAGGTCAGCCACAGAGAGAGAGCCTCAGTGAGAGGGAGAGAGAGAGAGAGACTAGCTAAGCTCCTCCCACCAAAACAAAAGACTGTTGCCAAGCACAATTCTCCAGTTACCACTATTCTACCACCCTTAATTTTACTTTTACAAAAAGAAATACAACTTTATAAACTACTTATTTAAATTGTGTGTGTGTCTACAGTATAACCTATTATATTGAGAAAAAGGCTTGACCCAGCTGCCTCTCAGTCATAAGGTTGATCAGTCCTTCTGACATTTAGAACCAAGTCCCCATCAATTCAATATAATTAGGTATTCCAGAGTAACTGTTACTTATAAATACATGTTGGGTCCTATAGCCCCATAACAGTACTACTATACTTTCATACATTCCCTTCTTTGCCTCCATAGATAATGTTTTTTGACTCCACATATACCTCAACGCACCACTCACCTTTTTTCCCTCGTCAATTCTATGATTAACCTCATCCTTCATAAATCCATCCGCCGACACGTCAACTCCCAAGTATCTGAAAACATTCATATGGTAAGTGTGCACCATATAAAAAAATCCTGCAGCACACAGTGCATAATTAGAAAAAACTGCAACTGTGTTTTTGGTTAAAAACGACAAATTTGCGGTGTATTTTCATATGGTTTTTATGGTTGTATTCTCTGCTTCTTGGTCTCATTTGATAGAATGGAGGATATATTACAGAAATAGAGATGTAATAAATGTCAGCGCATTCGTGAACACACAGATTGATCAGTTGGATGTGTATTGGACAAGTACATAATGTGATTTGTTTACTTTGAGCTCAATTTCAAGCTACTTCCATTCTGAAACCAATCAAAACCATCTCTATTTCTGTAATATATCTTCCATTCTGTTGAATGATATAAAGAAACCAGGAATACAACCATAAAAACCATACAAAAGTACACCACCAAGTTAGTATTTTAACCCAAAAGCATGGTCGCAATTTTTCCCCCCATTGTGCACTGTGTGGGTTAGTACTATTTTTATAAGGTGCACATTACCGTATCAACAAATTCTCTCTTATCTAGACTCAAATTTACCACTCGCTGCTTATCTGAGCGAACTGAGCTCATGGCGTAGTGCTACAGCACGGACAGAGACTGCAAACCCTTAGAGTTATGGCACGAAGGCGTTTAATAAATATGCATGATTGATATCTTGCTCACACTCTCATTCCAATAGCTGGTCTTCATTCACTGCTTAACATGCTCATACAAGTGTATTGCTCAAGCCCTTAAAACTGTCTCCTTTACTCCCCCCTTTCCCCTTGCCATGCTAACCTTCATTTATATCATAAGTGTCGTCTCTGAGTTATCTGAAGTTGGGCACTCCCTCATCACTTTTCATATCTGTAATTACTCTCTCACTTTATCAGTTGCCAATGTACACAAATGTAAAACTTTGTTCCTAACAGACATATTGTTAATGTGGGAATGCATAGTACAGATATGATACACTTCATAGTTGAAGCTAAATTAGGTATTATATTTGCACATATAATTGAACAGTATTTAGATAAGGCTAAAGAGGTTTTTGTGGCATTTATGGATTTGGAAAAGGCGTACGACAGGGTGGATAGGGGGGCAATGTGGCAGATGTAGGTGTATGGTGTAGGAGGAACGTTACTGAAAGCAGTGAAGAGTTCTTACGAGGATAGTGAGGCTCAAGTTAGAGTATGTAGGAAAGAGGGAGATTATTTCCCAGTAAAAGTAGGCCTTAGACAAGGATGTGTGATGTCACCGTGGTTGTTTAATATATTTATAGATGGGGTTGTAAGAGAAGTAAATGCAAGGGTCTTGGCAAGAGGAGTGGAGTTAAAAGATAAAGAATCACATATAAAGTGGGAGTTGTCACAGTTGCTCTTTGCTAATGACACTGTGCTCTTGGGAGATTCTGAAGAGAAGTTGCAGAGGTTGGCGGATGAATTTGGTAGGGTATACAAAAGAAGAAAATTAAAAGTGAATACAGGAAAGAGTAAGGTTATGAGGATAACAAAAAGATTAGGTGATGAAAGATTGGATATCAGATTGGAGGGAGAGAGTATGGAGGAGGTGAATGTATTCAGATATTTGGGAGTGGACGTGTCAGCGGATGGGTCTATGAAAGATGAGGTGAATCATAGAATTGATGAGGGGAAAAGGGTGAGCGGTGCACTTAGGAGTCTGTGGAGACAAAGAACTTTGTCCTTGGAGGCAAAGAGGGGAATGTATGAGAGTATAGTTTTACCAATGCTCTCATATGGGTGTGAAGCATGGGTGATGAATGTTGCAGCGAGGAGAAGGCTGGAGGCAGTGGAGATGTCATGTCTGAGGGCAATGTGTGGTGTGAATATAATGCAGAGAATTCGTAGTTTGGAAGTTAGGAGGAGGTGCGGGATTACCAAAACTGTTGTCCAGAGGGCTGAGGAAGGGTTGTTGAGGTGGTTTGGACATGTAGAGAGAATGGAGCGAAACAGAATGACTTCAAGAGTGTATCAGTCTGTAGTGGAAGGAAGGCGGGGTAGGGGTCGGCCTAGGAAAGGTTGGAGGGAGGGGGTAAAGGAGGTTTTGTGTGCGAGGGGCTTGGACTTCCAGCGGGCATGCATGAGCGTGTTTGATAGGAGTGAATGGAGACAAATGGTTTTTAATACTTGACGTGCCGTTGGAGTGTGAGCAAAGTAACATTTATGAAGGGATTCAAGGAAACCGGCAGGCCGGACTTGAGTCCTGGAGATGGGAAGTACAGTGCCTGCACTCTGAAGGAGGGGTGTTAATGTTGCAGTTTAAAAACTAGTGTAAAGCACCCTTCTGGCAAGACAGTGATGGAGTGAATGATGGTGAAAGTTTTTCTTTTTTGGGCCACCCTGCCTTGGTGGGAATCGGCCAGTGTGTTAATAAAAATAATAATAATTTGCACACTGTATTTCAGCTTTCAACTATAGTGAAAAATCAGTGTAACGGATTAATGGGGAAAAGTGGTGTCTGTTTTAATGAACATTCATTATACTGCAGTGCCCAGTGAGCTGAACTAGGAGCCTACTGGACACTTTACAAATGTCCATGTAACAGACTTAGTCTGCTGCATCAGTTATGCTACCAGACTTAGGAATAGACTAACACATTAGTTGTTTTTGGGCTATATTCATTAATTTTTTGTATACCATTGTGTGTGGGAGTAAGCTTATTGATCTTGACCAGCTTATATTATTTTTTTTTTCCTTGGTGGTGCTCTCTAGCCAAGGCTGGGTGATCTAATGAAGAAAAAACTTGCTATCATTCATTCAGTCTTTGTTTTGAAAGAAGTGTACTAATATCACAATTCAGATTACCCTTCAACTGCAGCATCCCCACTCCTTCAGAGTGCAGGTACTCTAGTAATACAAATTGGTTTCCTTGAATCTCTTCATGATAGAATCTTGCTCACATTCCACCTCTAACATGCTTGTTTAAGTGTTCGGGATGCTCAAGCCCCTAAAACTTGGCCTCCTTTACTCCTCCCCTTCCATTCTAACTTTCCTATATTTCACCTCAGATTTATACAACCTGTCATCCTATTCCTCTCCATCCTTTTTACATGCCCAGAACACCTCAGCCCTCTGGATTATACCCTTGGTGACCAAATATTGCCTTTTAATTTCTTTGCTTCGGCTTCTCTGCATATTTATTCGTTGCACATTTGCACTTTTTAAAATGTATTTGAGACTTAATTAATGAGCACTTTTCATTTCACAGATTGAGTCCTTCTCTGGCGCTAATGAAGTAAAGATTCGTGAAACTCTTGACAAACATCGATAAACTGGATTGCTACCTCCAAGAAATGCTCTCCATACATTTAGTTTATCGAATCACATTTACAGCACTAATCTATCAATTAATTTCACCTTGTTCTGTTTTGCTCATAGATAAAAATGTGGAAAATTAGATAACTTTTGTGCTGCATATGTAGAGTGAAGCTCTTGGGGCTCTGCTGATAGTTTTGAAATGTATTAATGAAGTTAACGTTATGCTTGTACTTGATGGCACTGTTAAATTTTTGTAGATTCTATAAAACTGCTTTTCAGTTGAGGTTCTTTTAATGGTAAATTTCCTTAATTGTGTATATTTTAGCATATCAAAAAACTTTGCTTACATTATGGTTGTTTGTGCCTTCTGGTTGTGACTTATTTAAAAAAAATCATAATGGCCAATAAAATAAAGTATCTACAATATGTTTTATTCAGCACTATCCTACTAATTTTTAGAATATGATGTAAATAATACCATACACTTTGGAGGTCATTTGTACACATTGATACTTGTCTCCTGTGCTTATGTGTACTGATATAAGTATATTTGCTTTCATGATGACAAAACAAATCCTTCAAGGGGTGGGGGAAGCCCTTGATGTAGAAGGTTCTTGGCTCGATGAACTGGACTCCTTGTCCTCTTTAAGGGGCAGCTCCATGTCATGGTAGAGAGGCTTTTGGTCTGAGGAATTGAACGTTTTGGTCTTCCTCTGACCTAACTTAATTACCTCCCAATCCCCCCTTCCCTCTTTCATTCCTCCTCCTTTTCCCATTCCTTCCCTCTCCTTTCCTGTTTTTAACCTTTGAGGGCTTATCCTCAGGTATTCTAGCTACATTCCATTGAGGTCCTTGATGGTGGTATATTATAATAAAAAAGAAGCACTAAACCTACTAGGGGCATACAGCACTGCAGGGTAGGAATTGATGTAGGATGAGGATAAGGGTGGAGAGGACAACAAAGGCCAAGTTAGGAAGGGCTGTGAGGAGTGCTCCCCTCAAGGAAGGTTCCTTGATGTTGGTGAGGGGCTCTTGATTTAGGGAATTGGATCTATGCTCCAGTTCCCCGAATTAAGCCTGAATGCCTTCCACATCCCCCCCAGGCGCTGTATAATCCTCCGGGTTTAGCGCTTCCCCCTTGTTTGTAATAATAATAATGTGAGGAGTGCTCCTCTTTAAGGGGAGCTCCTTGGTGTGGTGAAGAGGCTCTTGGTCTGAGGAATTAGCCATTTTGGTCCCCTTCCTCAGACAACCTAATTACCCCCCCTACCCTATCCCATCCTCCTTTTTTCCATTTCCTCCTCCCCATCCCTCCCCTATTCCCTTCCTCTTTTTGGTCTTTGGGATTCTTCTCACAGGCAATCTAGTTCCTAGGTAGGGCGAAGGGTACCGGGGTCCATCCCATTCTGCTGAGGTCCTTGGCAGTGGTGTAGTTTGCACTATAATCCGGATCACCTGGGGATGTCCCGATCCTTCCCCAGTCTCCGGGGGGGGGTGTCTTTCGGATGACAGGTGTATTTCTGGAGGCCGCCTGTCGGATTCCAGGGAGTAGTGGCTAAAGGAGGTATGCTTTGTGGCGGGTGTCAGGCCGCCCTCTCTTTTGTCCACTGAGGTGGCTCTGTGGATGTGAGTTTGCTATCCTGTATTATTGTTGGTTTACTGGCATGAGGGGTAGGGCATGGCACAGGTTCCATGCCGCATCTGCACTACTTGCCGTGCTGAGGTCCTCTTGGGTGCAGAGAGGGATTTACGGCCCCTTTTTTTGCCTCCTAAAAGCTATTCCTCCATGTTCCCCCCCTTTTTTATTCTTTCCTTTTTTTTTCTAAAAAACAAAAGTGATCTAACCATGGAGTCTCAAATCCATGAACCTGCTCTCCCTGGGCCCCTTCTGACCCTGCCTCGTTTTTTGATCACTCTTCAAACACTTCTAATGCCCCTGTACCTCTTGCTGGTGCTGTTTCATTACCCGCTTCAGGTATGTACCTTCGATACGTCTGACCTCCGCTCTTCTTTGACTATGCTTCTGACTTCTCCCTCTATGGTGTGGCAGTTTTCGAATCGCCAGCCGGTCCTATGTTGTACCAACTCCGGTCCCACTCCTAAATGCCCATGACAATTGCCTGATGATACTTCTTTGCTTCCTTCTCGCTCTACTCAGAAAAGACTGGCATGTCATGCACTCCCTTTCCACGCTCGGTTTCAGAATGCACAATGAACTAAATTCTTTACTTTATGACCGACTTCCTCGACTGCCTATCTTTCCAACCATGGCAAGGCGCTCCTACGCCATGTTGGTAGAGATGTATCCTTTCACGCTCTCAAGAGCGGTACATGCATCATTACTGTCCAGAATGCTAACCAAGCTCATGACCTTTCTCTCTTTCAAATATCGATACTATTCCTGTCACTATCAAAAAGCATCATTCTCGAAAACATCATTCCCTCAATTCTTGTAGTGGTACATTGTCATTCTGCCCCATACCATTGTCCAACAGAATTTCCAGACATATGGCAATGACATTCTAGAACAGCTGCAACTCCAAGACCTCTCAATCCTCAGAGTAGACACTTATGTCCTCCCTGCCCGCGGGCGGAGACGATATCTTTGCAATGTAGCTTGATTAACTTTCGACTGCCGTGAACTCCCATCCTCTGTTGATATAGCGGGACATCGTTTGCAAGTTCGAAAGGTGATCCCTACACCGCAACAGTAGAAATTGCTGGCATTTTGGTCACCCAGCGAAATATTGCAGATCTATAGCAGAATGCCCAGTCTGTGGTGCCGATGAGCATTCCAATACGTCTTGTAGTCTACCTCCCTCTTGTCTTAACTGCCATGAGGTTTACCCATCTTACTCTTGCCATTACCAAGTTTACTTAAATGAGTGAGAAATCTGTTGCCTCAAAGAGGCAGAAGGTTTCCCCTGTGCTATGGCAATTTCTCATCTACACCTCCAAGGGAGACTATCCCATATTTCTTGTTCTCGTGTTTCTAAACGTCCCCCCACCTCTGGGGTCCCATCTTCTGCAGCCTCTGTGGTTACCCCTTCCATAGTCACTCCTGTCTCAAATTCTTTTGCTGTCCTGGACTCAGAAGTCCCTACCTCAACACCTGAGTCTGTTCTCACTTCTTCATGTTCTTCCTCACAAGTTCCGGTATCGACCAGACCTCGTACAACACCTCCTCCCCATCACCCCTCTACTTCTCAGAAGTCCAAAAAAATCCCCATTGCTCAAATCTCCTTTAACCCCTCCTTCCCTTCTTCTACCTCCACATTTTGCCTTTCCTGTCTCTGTACCTGGTTCTTCACCTCTCACTGGCTCTGTTACAAGTGTGGAGGTTCACCCTCCTCCTCCTACTGTACCTTCCTCTTCTGTCCCCTCCCACACTTCTTCTCCAGTGCCCTCTGTGCTTTCGTCCCCCCCCTACTTTGGTACAGTCCATTGCTGTCCCAATCTTCACTCACCCTCCTCCTCCCATCTTCGATATTATCTCCCATACGTCTTTGTCTTCTGAAACACTTGAAGCTATCTTGGAATATATTGAAGAGACAAGACCATCAATGGACACTGATCCACCTCCTGTTCCTCCTCTTCCCTCCCCTCCATCTGTGCAACTCCTATCTTCGCAGCGTCCCATTCCTTCGCTGCTTGAACGTTTTCCACTGCTGCCACATGTGGACTTTTCTAACCCCTCTAGTCTGTAGATACCTTTACCTGCAGATTTCTTTTATCTTTCTCATTACCAATCATGACCTATTTACAGTAGAATATCCACAGCCTCAGAGGTAATTGGGGTGAGCTTCAGATGTTGCTCTCCCAGTTTTTTCCTGTTGGTGTTTGCTTACAGGAACCAAAATTACACTCCACTGTTATCCATCACATCTCAGGCTATGATTTATTGTATTCTTCGGATCCTTTCTCTGATGGAACCTTTAATGAAAGTTCCCTTCTTATACGCACTGATATTCTGTACTGTCAGCTATTTATTCATACTTCGCTGCATTACACTGCAGCCCGTATCCGCTTGAATAAGTGGTATACAATCTGTTCTTTGTATCTCTCTCCTTGGGCATTATCTATCCCAGATGTTGCCTTTCTTGTTTCGTTCTTATCGCCACCACTTCTGTTACTAGGCGATTTTAACGCCCACCATTTCCTCTGGGGGAGTTCTCACTGCGACTCCCATGGCATTCAGTTAGAGACTTTTCTCGCTTCTTACCCCCTCCATGTTTTAAATATGGGTACTCCCACCCATTTTGATTTTCATACTCATACTCTCTTCTATCGATCTCTCGGTCTGCGCTTCCTCCACTGCACTTGACTTCACCTGGTCTGTCCTCCCAGACTTACATAACAACGATCATTTTCCAATCATTCTTACTTCTTCAAATTCACCACCTCTTCATAGCCCACGCTGACAATTTGATTGAGCAAACTGGGACCTTTACTCACAACTAACTGCTTTTAGTGAGGTTCCTTCTTCATCCTCCATTGATGAGCTTTTACACCTCTTCTCGATCTCAGTTTTAACGCAGCTTCTCATTCTATACCCCAAATCTTGGGTAGGCATTCTCAAAAGTGTGTGCCTTGGTGGTCTCCTGCCTGTGCTCGGGCAGTATGTTTGAAACGTGCTATGTGGGGCAGGTACCGGTACAACAGAACTACAGAGAGACTTCTTGATTTTAAGCAGGAGTGAGTGGTTGCTCGCCGTGTCACCCATGACACTAAACGCACTTGCTGGCGAGATTATGTTTCCACCATCACCTCTGCTTCCTCTATGAGTGCAGTCTGGAAAAAAGTATGGAAACTGAGTGGTAAATATTCTCCAGACCCAGCTACTGTTCTGCGGATTGCCGGTGTTGATATAGCAAACCCTCTTGACGTTGCCATTGAAATTGGTAATCATCTGGTCCATATTTTTCAGGGGCTCCATCTCTGCCCCTCGTTTCTTTCCTCAAAGTCTGCCAGAGAGTTAGCACCCTTGGACTTTTCTTCTCTCAAAGAAGGATCTTATAATGTGCCTTTTACACTTCTGGAATTGGAGGCAACACACTCAGCGTGCCGATCATCGGCAGCTGGGCCTGATGGCATTCATATTTGGATGTTACAACATTTACATCAGTCAGCCCTTGCAGTCCTCTTACAACTCTTTAATCTTATTTGGTCACAAGGAGTTCTTCCTCAGCTGTGGAAATCTGCTATTATTCTCCCTTTTCACAAACCGGGTACTATGGGACATGAAGCCCCCACTATTGTCCCATTGCTCTTACCAGTGCAGTTTGCAAGGTGATGGAACGTCTGGTAAATCGACGTTTAATGTGGTATTTAGAGACACACAACAGTCTCTCCACTAGTCAATATGGCTTTCGTAAGGGCCATTCTACCATTGACCCCTCACTACGCTTGGATATGTATGTTCGT